CCATCACTGCTCCCTTGAAAATTACCATTGGATATGATTTTTTTTAGTTTTGCACAATGCCTCAGTTGATAAAGTTGCCTCTCGTCTCTTCACATCTGTTAATTTTTTTTTGTACAGAAATGTTTATGCTTCCTTTGTCCGATAAGTTACTGCTACGTAAATGGTATTTAGTTTCCCTTGAGTATAGCAGTTTGATTTTTTWAAATGTATTTACTCACCCTGGGGGGAAAGTAAACCTTAAACCTTGACATCCTGTTCCATAGAAACTTAGATATTATTGGCAAAAATTAAAAAAATTGAAGACTTCAATGAGGACTGCATGCGACCTTTTCTGACTTCAAGAACTGCATTGGTGCAATTTTAAACAAAGAAATATTCACAGAGTGCTCAGTCTTGGCAGCTTTTAATGTATTCAAAATCTCATCACTGAATATACACAGCCAGCTAGCCACAGCCCCTCCCCTCTACTGCGTGTTTCTTGGAAATGCTCTTTTGCATCAAAAGTCTTTTCCTCATAATACGATTATCCCGCTTTGATTCACAAAACTAGAAAGGTGGATACAGCTATCTCGTTATTAAAATCCAGTGATAAGTTCATACAGTCAACTCTCTCGTAACGACCACCTCGGGATCAGGAAAAAGTGTTCTTTTACGAGAGATGTTCGATTACGAGAAAGTTTTTTTTGCAGAGTTTATATGGGAATTAACAAAATGGGAAATTTAAAAGGTGGTCGTTTACGGGAGATGGTAGCTTATGAGAGTGGTCGTTCAAAGAGAGTTAACTGTATTTAAGTCTCTTCAATTTTTGCACAAATCGGGAAAGTTTTCCCTAAAAATGGACATCAAGTCTACATAATGCTGCACTATTCTTGCTTTGCAATGCCTTGCTCTTTTTTCATCGCATGCAACGTCGAAGCGCTCGCAGGCCAGAAATCTTCGTCTTTTTGCCTGAAAATGCAGACGATTAAAAAATGGCATAAACTGAAGAGGTGTTGCTGATGAAAAATCTACATTGTCCATCTTATTTTAAACATGTTTGCCTTCCCTCTCACAAAGTTGACAGCCGTCTAGCTGTCAGAAGCTGAAGAAGAAGATGGATCCACAGTCTGTGGGTGGTGTTCATCTCTCCCTGACAGCAAGAGATTTTAGCACTTCTTATAATATAAATATAAATAAAACAAAAGAAAATCAAAATAAATTTTTAACAAGATTTTAATTCAGATGGGCTAGGTACTTTGAAACTGTATAGTACTGCAAGATTATGAGTTTGGGCTGCCTGTAGTTAAACTTACCTAAGCAACCGTCATGTTCATGTATAGGTAGTGCTTTAAGGGATTAAAAATAAAGATGTAACGAAATGCCAAGCAACCAACAGTTTCAGTCAGTTGCTCTTTCTTGCTTTCTTGCAGCTGCTACACGGCAAATAATGCAACACTACAAGAAACTATCTGAGTTAATTTGTCTTTTGACATCATGAAAGGTATCATTAATACTTTATCCCTTCTGCTTTTAAAAGACTAGATCAATCTAGGGGGAACTGGTTCAATTCAGTTGCTGAATGAAGGCTGAATGAAGATAGGAAGTCATTACCTGATTACCTTAATCAGTGATCCACCTGAAAAAAAAAAAAAGCGAGAAAGGTCAGTAAGTAAAAAGCATTTATGTTTATAAAAAATAATAGAAAACTGACAATATAATAAGTGATTCAAGTCGTTTTTTTTTTCAAATGCTTTTCCGACGGGATTTACAGATATTTTTTCACTATCTTTCAATGGAAAACCTCCAAAGCCACTGGATAGATACTACTTGTTCTTGGATATCATAAATTGTTTTTAAAGTTTAAKCTATGTTTTAGCACGAAGAAAATGGTTCTCTGAGGTATACCATGAACATAAAATGGCACTGAGATTTGAAAATATTGAAGCTATTTGTCTTGCAAAATGTCAGCTTAGAGAGYATTCAATTGGCACATGATGAGTAAGATATGTTTTTGATACATTGCTAAGTGTCCTTGCTATTTCCAKGTCATTAGTAAGTAAGACTTAAAGGTGCAAGGACACGACTCAGCAATACCAGCAAGGTATTGAGCGAAAGGACTTATCTGAGTCCTTTAAAAGTCGCACTTAATAGTCTTAAATGATGGATACTTTTTTTGATATTTTCCTAAGTCTCCTTAAGGACCAGGGGAGGCCTAAGGAAGTATTCGTAACTAGAAGTTTCTCAACATGCTTACTTGTACTCTTCTTCTAGTTTCCAGCCAGGTGGACGGTTTTCTCACTTTGTACTTATGTTGCACCTTTTCAGTTTTCCTTACTGTTAATCATCTATCAGTATTATTAATCTTCTATTAATAATCTATTATTATTCGTCTTTAAGTGACACAGTTTTCTTGTTTTCACAGCAATCATCTTTGTTTCAACACTTGTGTAGGAATTGAAGTAGTTTCATGTTTGTTTTCTCTTTTAGATGTTCATGATAAAGATTTGTTTGGTTCTTGTGACGGTCGTGGCCRTCAATGCAGCACCCATGCAKGACTGTGAACGGAAAKTTTTACAGGATCGCTTCATAAAAAATTACGTAGATMAAATCAGTAAAAACTGGACTTTCTGCAAAGAGTTGAAGGTGAAGAATTACTTTCATGATACTAGCATGTTCCTGGATAACTATATAGCTATACCACCATAAAAAAATACTTGTTAGGTTTAGACGATTTCTTTTGTTTCKTTTAGTTCATTCTCSATGCATTGTTGMACTCWCCTTCTTGTCTGGGARARRCTATCACTRCTCAGCGATTATGGCTCCTTCAGTTCATCTACCTGGATAACACRTTGTCGCCAATATGCGGTGAAGCACTTGCCACCGATGCCTTGAAGAAAATGGTGAAACACTCCCCTTCTTGTAAGTATGAACTCATCTCCCTTGGCAACACTGGGTACGTACTGMAGGCAAAACTTATGAGCTATTCAGATCGTTTCTCATCTTCTTTCTGTTTTTATATTTTCAAGTTGAACTATTGAAGGAGTTTCCATCGCTTGGTAAGGTTTGAAATACGCATTTTTAGAAATTTAAAATTTAAAAAGGCCATGATGCAACGGATACCTCTATTGTTTTTTATCTATCAGTGAAGTTAACATGAAAACAATCGCTCCCAATTTCTCACATACCGATAATCGCTTAGTTTAATAATTGTACATACAATATTTACATCCATTCCATAGAACATGACCATTCCCACGCCTGTGCCAAAGAAGTACACGTCGAGTGCCGCACGCATTACCAGGCAGACGCGAAGAAAGAAGAATTTTGTCAGGCCGTTGAGGCGTTTGATCGCTGCTACGAAAAAGGAACAAAACGATGCAAAGCAAAAATAATACAAGATTATTATGTCTTTGTGAGAGATGTAGGAGAAAACCTGTTGTCTGTTTACAGGAAAGAGCTGCCTGATGTGTGCAAATAATTAATCTAGAATCTAGAACCTTAATGATGGGATTTTTGGAACGTTCTTTAGCGTTTCGAGAATACAATAAACAAAACTACTCATTCAATACCGTGTTTTGGACATTTATTTGCGCATTAGCATACAATGCATGTCTAGTGTGCTTGGATTGCGAGCTTTCGTTTATTGTTTGCACGGTAATGAAATGAAAGAAACAGTGGAACCACGTTACAAAGGACACACTTGGGACAATGGAATATAAGATGACATGCTAAAGTTTGATTTACTAATAAGATGTTCACGGTTGCGATTTTTCCCGACCCTCCCCCCCAGGTACAGTTCGCTTTCACCCCTTTAGTTACTTATCGCGGCTGCAGATGCCCATAATCCCTTTTGAGCGCGAGAGAGACCGGTGAAAATAGGTTACTATTCTGTAACCTTCACTATAATTCCTAATAAATCGTGACAAAAAAAATGACATGATAAAGTTCCTCTTTAAAATTTTATGTAACTATGCTGTAACTACTATAATCAATGTGTACAGACTGTGTTATAAATATACTTTTGAGAATATTTTTTTCTATATTTTGAGAAGATTATTCTTGTCCTTTTTTTCAACATATTGAACCTGTTTTAGAATTTCAGCCTAAAATGGTTCTTATGTGAAGGGTGCTTAAAAATGAAATTTTAGCCTAACAAGTTATTAAATGTTAGGTTCTTATACGCGGGTTTTTACTGTAAGAAAAATGTCTCTTACTTATTTTTTCTATCAAAAATGTGATATTTACATGCATTCTAGATATCACTAATTGAGCAACAATTTCTTTAGTTGTACTTAAGTCGACACTGCCGTCAACTGTTTCATGTTAAAGCGTTTTTTAGAAAGATTCTCATTAGACTCTCATTAGTTGATGATAAGATGTATTGATTTAATGATGTTCCTAACAATCTACCTTCAATAAGCAGTATTTGCATAACTTCTAATTTTCACCTATGAAGCTTCCCTCTCGTATTAGCGGTACAGCCGATTCGTTAGTACAACAATATATTTCAAATATTTTTTTCCAGAGAGTGTAGTAACTTTAGATTATCCGTCTCATGTGTACTCAAGCTCTTATTGGTTAATCCTAGTGGTAAGACAGACTTTCATTAGTTGATTAAGATGTATTGATTTAATGATGTTCCTAACACTCTACCTTGGTTTCCTGGGAAACACTAGCTACTGCTCTCATAAATTCATTATTTGTACAATATTAGTCATTGATGTAATGGTTTGGCCTGGGTGGTGCAATCTACACAGCCTCCCCCTGACTCATGCATAATGTACAGTTACGTGGCGTAACTGCGCAAGCACTTTCAACACACGATTTCTTTTCCTACTTTGAATGGCACTCAAAACCAAAATCACCATCTTGTACAACTTAATTTTTTCTATCTGGGTACTTTAGTATCTAAGGATTTAGTGCCAGGAAAAGTAAAGATTTTCCTTTGCAAAAGTTTCTGTGTTTACTAGTGAACGCCACATAATGAGTTTTAGCTCTTACTTGGCAACCAATCGGATGTCTGCAATCAGTCACGTGAACATGTTACCGCTGACGAATCTAAGGCTCAAGTCACGTGTAAGTGTACAAGATAAAAGCTCAAATAAAGCCAACAAACAAGCGAGTGCATCTACAAATTGGTTTCAGAACCGAGTTTGGATTACTGCATATCCGCTATAACGGTGAGGTTGTTGTGTTGGTGTATTGTTGCGGGATATGCGTGTTTTGTTTTAGTCCTTTCCCGTATTCAATTTGTTAACCCTTTCTTTTTTCTTGTTTTTTTTTTTTTTTTTGAACCGTTACGGAGTTCAAGCATATGGTACATTTTTCATGTTTACTTTGTTATCATCCTTTAAAATTGGTTTTCATCCTTCCTATGTTGCACTGATTGTCGTTCTATGCAATCCCTTAATTTTTAGTCATTCATTGTTGTTATTAGTGCGGGGCCTTCCATTAGGCGTTTACTAACCTTGCTACCGAGTTATCCCTTAGCGTCACCCTGCAGCGCGCCGGTGTTAAACTCTGCGGCTTCACGCAAACGGAACTCGCTATTTTGTTCGGATTTCTGAAATTCACGTTCTCGAAAACTCCGTGCTAAATCTACTCTCCTACTCATACTCCAACTACACCCACACTCGCTCCCTCTCCTTCTTCCATTTCTTTTACTGCATCTTCTAATTCAATTCCTTACTGAACCAACGCCATTGTCGACGGACAAGATCCTGCAACCTCCACTGGATCAGCCGGCTCCAACGCAAACCCATCACCTTCCGCACTTGCTTTAAAAGCTGGCCAACTAGATCAGCTTCTGGCCACGCTTGGCTCTAGCTTAGCCGCTAGCAACCAATCGACCACATCACAACTTTAATGACTCATAGTCCTGTAAGTTCTAGATCTTCTGCGACTAATGTTGATGAAGCCGTATATTTGCGGTTACTGGATAGCCCAGCTATGTCTTCAATATACTAATCCATGTAATATTGAACACTTCAAAACAATGCGGGGCATAGTTCACTCATTCCTATTAGGGCAGTAACAAACAAGGCGTGCAGACCCGTAGCAAGGAAGGGGCCAGGGGGCCCGGGCCCCTCCACTTTTTTGACAAAAAATAATAATATACAATTTTATATATAATTTTTTTTTCAATCCTAAAAGGAAATATGACGGGACAAATGGAACTTCTAAATTGGGTCCCCTCACTTTTTTAACCCTTCTACGGGCCTGGCGTATGCATCTACATATTTCTAAAAGAAAATCAAAATTGGCGCTTTTCACTGGTCGAGGACTATTGAAAATAGAACAAAGGGGTGTAGACAATGATCAGAATGTAGGATTTCCAGTAGTCCACTTTTATGATAATACTAATGTGACCAAGTGGACTACCACGTCAAGTATTTGTGTATTGATTCTTTTATTTCTTATGTATAACAAGTGGCCAACAAACGGCGAGAACTATAACAAGTAATCATAGCATTAATTTTACTCTACTGATAACAAGTCTTTCTAGGATTTCTCCTCTAAGTTATCCTATGTATATACTAGACTTCAGGTCGCTATGTAATCTAACTGAACTAGTACCGATCGCATTTAGCGTTGCCGCTAAATCTCACTACCTAACTTATACAAATCCTAGACCAATTTACTATAGGAGTAAACTAACTTGTATCCAACTGAATTGATAACGGTTGCCTAAAGCTAAACAAGAAATCTTCAGCTTGCTTAACACGAGTAAACATACATTTTTCTTGCGAAAAATACAACAACACAATGAATGTAACTACTTATTATATGAGGTAACTTGTACGTACCAATTCCCAATAAAAACCGAATGTTGATTAAGATTAAAACTTGAGCTGTAAGGTTGTGCTTTGTCTTCTGAAAACTGCTTCAAAAACTGTTGACTTCTTCAAAAGACGTGATAAAATAATTCGCGAGAAAGCTCGCGCTAAGAAACTTAACTGAAAACAAAACTGTGGGTGANACTTGCCACCGATGCCTTGAAGAAAATGGTGAAACACTCCCCTTCTTGTAAGTATGAACTCATCTCCCTTGGCAACACTGGGTACGTACTGAAGGCAAAACTTATGAGCTATTCAGATCGTTTCTCATCTTCTTTCTGTTTTTATATTTTCAAGTTGAACTATTGAAGGAGTTTCCATCGCTTGGTAAGGTTTGAAATACGCATTAGAAATTTAAAATTTAAAAAGGCCATGATGCAACTACCCTGCGAGCAGAGTGTATTTCCTTACCTCAATTTTTTATTGTTTTTTATCTATCAGTGAAGTTAACATGAAAACAATCGCTCCCAATTTCTCACATACCGATAATTGCTTAGTTTAATAATTATATACATACAATATTTATATCACTTCATAGAACATGATCATTCCCAAGCCTGTTCCAAAAAAGTACACGTCAAGTGCCGCACACATTACCTGGCAGACGCGAAGAAAGAAGAATTTTGTCAAGCCGTTGAGGAGTTTGATCGCTGCTACGAAAAAGGAGCAAAACGATGCAAAGCAAAAATATTACAAGATTATTATGTCTTTGTGAGAGATGTAGGAGAAAACCTGTTGTCCGTTTACAGGAAAGAGCTGCCTGATGTGTGCAAATAATTAATCTAGAATCTAGAACGTTAATGATGGGATTTTTGAAACGTTCTTTAGCGTTTCGAGAATACAATAAACAAAACTACTCATTCAATACCGTGTTTTGGACATTATTTGACGTATTCTTGTGCATTAGCATACAATGTTTAGTGTGCTTGAATTGCGTGCTTTCATTATTGTTTGCACGTTAACGAACGAAAGATTGGAGCCACGTTAAAAAGGTGACACCCTTGGGACGAAAGGAAGAGTCCTTATTAACGGCTGTCCCTATTTGGCGGGGTTCTATATACAAAAGCCGAAAACACGTTTTCAACTATTTTATACTGTAATACTGAATTTTACAACAATTGTGTGAAGTCACACCCTAGTTTTTCAAAACATCATTTGATTAATTTTGATCTACAATAAACCTGCTTTCAAAAATGCTCAACGATAGCATTTTATTTTTAGCATTTTAGAGACTATTTCGAATATTTGGACATGGCTTACACATCAACACTATACTACTCTTGGTGTATATTTAAAAAAAAGAATATTCTAGCAAACTATTATCAAGAAAAAAATTCAATTGGAGCATGATCAGTGAGATGTATTTTTGATACATTGCTACGTGTCCTTGTTATTTCCATCACAGGGCGCCCAGCCTCAACGTGTTGCTTTCATGGCGGTGTCATGGCGGTATTCCAAACGTTTCGCCTTTTCAGGCTTCATCAATGGATACAACTAAAATGGCTTAGTTTGAATAAATTACAAAAGTACGTTATGCGAAATGGTTGTTTAAATTCAATTGTTATTAATTTTTTTTAAAAATAACGGCCAACGCAGCCATTCACAAGAGTGTCAGAGCTAGTGTGTTCTATATTTCCATGGCTTCTTAAGGGGGTACGGGGCAGTGCCCCCGGAACATTTTGGAATTTTAATCCTCGGAAATTAATGCGATTTACAGCAATAATAGATTTATTTAGTAGTGTGACATTGCTGAATCGTTGATGTATCATATTTGATCTTAGCCAAGTTTTCATGGACGTCGTATTGCTAAAAATGATCGTTCGCACGAAGCGCTGGTCCCTACCAGAGTGTGTGGTAGCACATGCAAAGCGAAGGAATCGTCATCGAGGTCGTGTTATTTTTGGCGCCTGCATTCAGCGGTATTCCAAACTTAACACGCACTGAGAGTCCGTGTCACGTGACCGGCCGATGCCAGGGCTATCTCTGTCCGCCATTTTTGAAAAAAAAACCAACAACAACAGGAAGCCCTGGGAACAAGGTTCACATACATACAAAACATGTGCAAACAAAGGAATATCAGAGTTATCAGCTAAATAAACCCGAAATTCTCAATTAACAGTTATTATAGCCGTTTCTCAGTTAACAGTTAACCCCATTCAGACCCCTGTTTTTAAACTACCCAGCAAACACTTTTCGATAATGCCTTAGAATCCCGAAACGGAAGGAGGAGCGAAGGAGAATGTAAACTGACGCATGTATTAATGTTTTATTCTTACATGTGAGGTATTTATATATGTTGCTTTAAAACTATATGATAAATATGATATTTGTATGTTTGTACTATACAAAATAAGACTCTTGTTACTGCCTCTCATTCTTAGTTCGAAAATAATATTTATGTTTTAGCAATAATATCCTTATGTCTTGCTCTTGAGATAAAAATAAATGAAACTAGAATGTTGTTCTAAGTGGCAAAAGCTAAGACAAACCTTAAAGGGTGCGCCAGATAGCAAAAAAGTCATTTACTAATTTTAGGTCTGACGGGGTTCCTGTGGTGAGATCATTCTTCCCATGGATCATTACGGTCATGCGACAAGCCTCTTCYATCACCATCGGTAAAGAAACTATACAGAATCTCGAAAGGTAAGTTTGTAATCCGTCTCCATCTTGCTGAAGAAATAATAAATCCACAGTAAAATAGTAAATACAAAAAGTATAAGATCTGTCCTTTGTAAATGGTGTGGTTTTTCCCCCTGTCAACGATGTAATTGTGAGTTSTTGGATTAATATTTTTGACTGGTGTTTCGACAGATGACGCCGGCTGTGGAAAACCCTCCAACAGAGGATAACACAAATGAAGGTATCAATATAAATATTATTATGTTGTTCCATGTTACTTTAAGAATCAAAGGCCTTAGATTTTGCTGTAGCATTTCTTTAAATATTGTCTTAAAACAGGGGAATATYGAGACAGAATATTTTGCCACTTGTCAGAGTCTGCTTGGGTAATGCATATTTAGCAATAAAATACATTTTGTTTTCTTTCTAAAACGAATAATTTGCTGAACTGTAAGACTAAATTACTTTAAAGAAGGAAAAGTTCTTATTTATTGGAATATATGAGTGTCAAGCAATGGCAGACACTGTACATCGTGAATARCACGATTCGTGTTTGTGTTCAACTTAMAACTTGGACACGTGCTTACTATATGCAGCTCGAGYAGTGGCATCTTTGTGGGTTTTGTTTGGTAGAAACTCATTTGTTTTCTACTTAAGTTGTTTTTATATACCTAAACACAAATTTATATTTATTTTGTATACAAACACAGTTACAAAATGTATAAAAATAGATAACTTGACATTAGCAGCATTGAAATATTGTTAAAATAATAATAAACAATCGCAAGTATTAATAAAATCTTTTATGCCCATAGCAATTGCTTCTGGAACTGAAAGTGACAGTGATGATGAAATGCCAGAACTTGAAGAAGCTGGYGATGGCCAAACCAACATTTCTGGTGACATGGCCGCTGCCGCTGGCATAACAGAGGAACCAGTAAGCAAAGCCAAACAAGGACGTAGTGAAAAGAAATCCAGAAAAGCAATTGGTAAACTTAACTTAAAAGCTGTCCCAGGCGTCAACAGAGTTACAGTCAGAAAGTCCAAAAACATATTATTTGTCATCAACAAACCGGAGGTCTTCAAGAATCCTGGATCTGATACCTACATTATCTTTGGTGAGGCAAAGGTAAAAATCTGGATTTATTGCTACAGCCCTGTGATGAAAAAATGATGCCTTATTGAGAGGAAAGTCCTTCTGGTTGGCAAGCTGTTGTGTGTGTACTGTGTTAATGTGTGTGGTTTACTGTGTGTGGTTTACTGTGTGTGGCGTTTGTGTGGTGTTTGCGCAACAGCTAAAAGATCAGATAGGAAGTGGTCCAATGATCATTAAGATTATGAGAGCTGAGGGCTTTATTATATAACTATCATTTCATGTACTTTCTGATGATTTTTTAAAGTGATATTCTTGAAATGAAACTGTTTATGTTGCTTTGCAGATTGAAGATCTCAGTCAACAAGCCCAAGTGCAGGTAATTTACACATTCAGTAAAAACKTTTCTCTGTTAAATCRTGTCTTTGTGCTTTTAAAATTCTTTAAACTAAGTACAGGATACATAAACATGAAAAATTAACAATATTGTTGATTTCTAGTGGCAGTGTTAATTGTGAATTTATTTGTGACAACCAAATATGGTATAGAAATATGATAATTATTTCTGAATGTTCCTGGGGCACAGTWCAGCAGTCACTTGTTTCAACACCCTTACAAGTTTCTGAAGYATTTTTTTAGCTTCYGAACAGCTATGCAATTATTTTCCTTTGAGATATATGTCCTGTGATTTTGCCCTCAGCAGTGATTGTTCAATAAGTACATAACATTGATCTTAAGTGTAACATCAATTGTGTTGCAGGCTGCCGAAAAATTCAAGACACAACAAGCAGCTCCCACAATCCCCGAAAACAAACCAGCCGTCGAACAAATGGAGGAAGAAGAAGGAGAAGAGGTAAGCTATTGACGTTTTTAATGTACATGTATTGTTTCCTTATGCCCTGTGATGAAAAAATGATGCCTTATTGAGAGGAAAGTCCTTCTGGTCAGCAAGCTGTTGTGTGTATTGTGTTAGTGTGTGTGGTTTACTGTGTGTGATGTTTGTGTGGTGTTTGCACAGCAGCTGAAAGATCAGACAGGAAGTGGTCCAATGATCATTAAGATTATGAGAGCTGAGGGCATTAGTAGTGCATTCCAGTTTTGTCTTTCTGATAATGGATTTTTTTAGGTAATTGTTTTTTGTTTGACTTTAGGTTGATGAGACTGGTGTGGAATCAAAAGATATCGAACTCGTCATGCAACAAGCCAATGTTTCCAAAGCTAAGGTAAGCCATCTTTTTGTGATATAACAGACTGAGCCTTGTACGTCACTACTCGATTTTCAATGCATTGTGGTATCAGTTTCAAAAGAAAATAAATAAATCCACCATACCCTGTCCCAAACATATCCTACAGCGCATTGTGGTACATAACGTAAAAGCTGGTCAATTATACTTGTACTCAGTGTTCTTTGTGTATAGAAAATTAATAGATTATTTCTTTATTTTTTACAGGCTGTCAGAGCACTTAAAAATAATCAAAATGATATCGTCAATGCTATCATGGTAAGTATTGTGCATAAGGTTACATCTGAATGTAAATATGTATTTTTGATGTGTTATGCCATACAGTAAATTGTATATTGTATTGTACATTAGAACTCATCCACATGCATGCTTAGCATTTAATGGGGCCACAGTGATATTCAATGTGCAGCGACATCCTTCATTACAACACACCATGATGGGAGATGTACTAGTCTTTGCACTTTTTCATGTCTGCTAAAACTGGGTTGTTTTTTTTTTTTTCAAAAATACTTGTTCCTTTTATACAAAGAAAGTATAGAAAGGACGTTTAGGGAGATATTTTACCTGTTACCAGTCCTCTCTTCCCTGTGGCACATATGGAGGTTATAACTCCCATCATGCTTTGATGACATCAAAAAATGACATCATCTATTGATCCTTCACCGTTGTGTTTCCTCTGCACTATCTGTCATTTTTGTTTGTTTGTCATTCCCTTTGAAATAATGCTGTGTTCTTTTTGATCTTATTTCAGGAACTTACGATGTAGTATTGGATTCATTTTGTAATTGAGACACTCGCTTTAAGAATATATATCCCTGTACAGTTTCTTTACTGTTAATGCCCCTCAACAAACATTGAAAAAATAAAAAATGAAAACAACGCTATTTGTGTTGTCTGACTTTGTGTAGGACTAGGACACATAATGGTTTTTACTGCTTTCTAATGGTAAAAGAAAAACAAAACCCCAAACTGACGAATTAGACTGTGTTCTAAGGTCTTGGTCAAACGTTAATAAAATGGTTATGCCAGAACGGTATAATAATGGTATCTCTGTGTCTTGCCAATCAGTTCTGAGAGATGAAAAGTGAGCTTAATTATCCGGTCAATATTCGCTTTTCTATGTAACTTGCAAAAGCCAATAAATGCTGTGAAAGTACAACTATTGTACTAAATAGCATAACTGCCTCTCTTCTCGGCCACCTGTATCGCAGCTATGGYCCTGGGACCAGAGGATATTAGGAATATACTGAAACTACTTCTCCCGAGAGACCTCTCCTAATTACACATGATTACACGATATGCTCCACTTGTCTCATGCATGGTTGATTTACCACTCGAAGTAAATTTGAATACTAACACATGCATAGATATAAGCTGTCTACATCGCCTTCAAAATCCAACCCTTTTTACGTTACCCTTGACTCATCAATTAGAGCTGGCAGAACAGARGTTGGAAGGCTTTTAGCCTTCTTGTCTTACGTCGACAACTTCGACATACACTGGACTCTCGACAATAATAATGTGTCTCGGATTAGAGGACATCCATCCTAAAAACTTTCAACTGCGATTTCCTTTCTTAAGGGCCTTTTCGACTTCTCCGGTAAGTCATAAATTATAGTTCTAGAAATGAGAGGCGATTTTTTGTACGATTTAGCTCTTTAAAGTTGCGAAAAAAGTATTGAATACAAACGTGATGCATGCATATAGCGAATTGATAATCAGTTTTCTTTTGAGTAAATATGTCATGTACAAAGGTTGTCTTGGCAAGGATAAGTTACTGTAAACGCTAATTACAGCCATGTTTTGTGTTAAGGTTAGCTGGTTTCGAAAGATTACAGATACAACACAAGAAGAATCGACCTTTTAGATTTACAGTGAATGTTTTTGAGGTCCAACTGAGCGCGCGCGTTTAGTTTTCAAGTTTCCAAAGTTTCTCGAAAAATTGTTTTTATTGCAGTTGAGGGTAACTTAAGATGGAATAAAGGAATAAAATCCTACTCATAGATTCTTCAAAGCAATTATTCGTAATAATAACGCGGAGTTTCTCAAATAAATTATAGAAAAGGTTTTGGCGCGAAACTGGTTCCCAAACCGTTTCAGACGCGCGCGCAAATGCAAATGCCGGACAAACAGCCGACTGGCTTATTRGCTACGATTTTGCTCTTACATCATTTCTGTTTCATTTATATACAAATTATAAGCATTTTTTCAATACTGATATGTGTATTTTTATATTTTATCTTGTAAAATGGCTTAATTTGTACACGTCGAAAAGCGGGGTATTTCATGCATGAGTGGAGAAGTTTTTAAAATATGCACATTTGTCTGTATGACATCAAAACCTGAAAATGAGAATGCAATTTATACGGAATTCAGTGTAGTTTTTTTTTAGGTTAATTGTTTCTTCGTGATTTTGTTGTTTGGATATCGGCCTTTTTTGCCTGTGAATAAGGCATGCTAGAGTCCAATTAAAAGATAAAATAAACTTTAGTTTATCACCAGAGTACAAGAGCTTTAGGCACAAAAAGAAGCCAGTGTGTCTGCACTGGACGGGAGCTTATTGTTATCGCCTCCAGGGTTATTTTGCCGTGTTTTTTGTAATAAATGGCTGATAAGATTTAACGTCTGTTTCAGTGGTTACCTATACTTGTATTCATCTTTTATCGTCTGGCCGTTGGGCTGTTCTGCCTGGCATGGCTTATCGTCAGTTTCTTCCAAACGGATGGGAAATGGTTCCTCTATATTAGCAATTGGATCTTCTTGTCTATAGCCATCTACTTCATCGTGGGCACACTCTTATCCATCGCTTACAGCTGCTCGGACGAGGCCAAGTACCTTAGTAAGATGAAAAGTACTCGCTGGGGCGCGGAACCGTACATAGAGGGATTTTCTGGGGACGAAATGCCTGCCCGAAACCAACCACATTGGTCACAGGAGCAAGACGACAGGTTAACGTTGCCTTATAAAGTCTTTTGGATCGTGTTTACTATCGCAAGCGTCGGTTCTCTGCAAGTTACGCTGATCTACTTGTTGATATTCCAAAAAAACATCGACACCACCGATGCTAGCTTGGTTATCATGAACTCAGTGTTCGTGACCGTSGAGCTCCTGATWAGCAACATCCCAGTGATTCTTTTGCACTTTTTTTATTCCCATGTTTTCCAATCCATCTATATTCTCTTCACATTCATTTACTGGGCTATAGGGGGAACCAGTGAAGGCAAGAGCTACATTTATAGGGCCTTGGATTATGGGGAGGATCCTGCTTGGGCTTGTATTATAGTGTTTCTGTACCTCGTGATWTTCCAGATATTTGCTCATCTTTACTGCTATCTTCTGTTCACTTTTAGAAAGTGGCTCGTTCGTAACTGGTACGCAAAAAATTAGAATTATTTGTACTTCGTAATTACAGTTTAATCTGATATGCAGTCAAAAAACAAAACAACAACAAACAAATCAAGTCAAAATACTATATAAACAAATAGATTTAAATGAAATAATAAATCAAAATAAGTAAATGAAACTGAGTATTTGCAAGTGGAAGGAGGATCAAAATTGATAGACCTTGAGTGGTGATATAAACATCAGTCCGCCATATTGGATCTGCAATGTTTACCAAAGTATATTATACGAAATCGATACTCATAATGGACATAATTAAATTAAAACCCCGAATAATCTAATCATTTATTGAAACGCGATTTCCATATATTGTGTATGTTTTAACAATGTACAACATCAATAACATACTCACTATTACGCAAATACGCATCGGCGTATTTTTTTAGGAATTGATTTTTTCATGTTTGCATTCACAAAACATGAAGCCAATTAATATCAAATAAGTAATAAGTAATAAGTAATATCTATAGGCAAACCAGCCCGTGAGACTGCACCAGGAAAAGACAAAACGCATTTCTGATTTTTGTAGAGTTTTGGGGGTCATATGGAATCATTCGTACTTGCAAAAAATTCCCACAGTACGCCCCTGTATGTAATCATTTCTGGAGCATGCGTCAAGAGTGGAAATTAGCACTTGCACACTCAATCGGAGGATCGTGCGGGGTCATAGAACATAGAAAGTGATTGTCAGACAGGGTACATGTGGAGTACGGCAATGATATGAATCAATATAATACACAAATTACTAACTTATTTTATAATCAAGGTTGTTTTCATTTACAAATGATTGTAAGGAGGACACCAATCATTAGCAGACCTAAATTAAAATTATAATAATATTATCCAGGTACTCTTTCGACCTCACCWTCTATGTTCAGTCATCTTGAACAACACTGTGTATTCCGCTTAGTTCGTGGCTGTACATTCTAGTGTCGTTAAAATGTGATAAAGATATATGAATAGAATTAAAATAATCACTTTTCCATTTTTGTAGTGTTAATCGACTTTGGACCCCCAAAAGTGGGAGTCTACTGTTCTTGGATATGCCACCGGACAGAACATTGCCTTTTTAGGGAAAATCGTGGCAACTAACGGTAAACCTGGAGTCACAACCAATAGCGCAAACAGGCTAAAAAAGGCCATTTTTGATGGACTATACCCTATGCAAAACTGTTCAAAAACACCCAAAATTGACATTTTTGATGGACTATACCCTATGCAAAGTGTTCAAAAACATCACCAAATTGACATTTTTGATGGACTATAAAGCATGCAAAGTGCTCAAAAACACCCTAMAAGTGCAATTTTTGATGTACTATATTCCATGTTGCGTTTTTGGATGGATCATAGCCCATGAAAAGTGCTCAAAAACATCCCAAAGTTGCCATTTTGATGCGCTACAGCCCATGCAAAGTGCTCAAAAACATCCCAAAGTTGCCATTTTGATACGCTACAGCCCATGCAAAGTGCTCAAAAACATCCCAAAGTTGCCATTTTGATGGACCATAGCCCATGAAAAGTGCTCAAAAACACCCCAAAGTTGCCATTTTTGATGGACTGTAGCCCATGCAAAGTGCTCAAAAACACCCCAAAGTTGCCATTTTTGATGGNAGAGACGTTCTGATCTTCTCATGGGTTGTATGCAGTATACAATTTCTTCTGGATACTCTGGATACTGTATGGTGGGCTCTGTAGGTCTTGGGCTACTTGGTCGATATACTGGTGGAGATACAGTAGGGATCGTGCAGTTCGAACGACAGACTTTAAACGATGTGCGATGAGAGCGACAAATTGTTCCGTCATCAACTGACTGGAGTGTATATACCGGACTTCTGTCTTCGGGTAACTTGTGGATTCTGTACAACTTTGGATTCCAAGCGTCTTGAATCTTGTTTCGGCCTTGTACTCTGTTTCTGAGGTAGACATGATCTCCAACTTTAACTTCCGGGTCATGTACTTTCTTATCTAGGTGTTTGATTCTCTCGTCGCTTGCTTGTTTAAGTTTCCTTCCTGCATGCTCATATGATTCCCTTAACCTTTCTCTGTGTGCTTGAATCCATTCGTCAGCTGATACATTTTGATCATTTTCTTCCTCACCTCCCCCCAACAAAAAGTCAAGTGGTATCACAGGGTCTCTTCCAAACATGCAGTAAATGGTACGGGCTATATCCTGTAGACGCATGCGGCGTGACATTATAGGAGTAGCACATTTCTGGTAAGTATGCAGTCCATTTCTTCTTCTTTTCAGGTGGAAGTGTTCTCAARAGATCATGCATCGTTCGATTGAACCGTTCACATTGTCCGTTTCCTTCTGGGTGGTAGGGTGTTGTTCTTGTCTTCTTAATTCCATACATGTTACACAGTTCCTTTATTAYGGAGCTCTCAAAGTTYCTTCCTTGATCTGAATGGATTTGCTTCGGAACGCCAAACTTGAAAAACCATTCGTTAATCAATGCTTTCGCAGTGGTGTTTGCTTTCTGGTCCTTTGTCGGAACAGCAACTGTGTATTTGGTAAATACGTCAGTCATCACCAAAACATTTTCTCGTCCATCCGTTGATTTTTCAATCAGCGTGAAATCAATTGCCAGGATTTCTAGTGGCTTGTTTGCTAAAAGCGTACTGGATGCTGGTCTTANGCGATTTTTGATGCAGAGCAGAGCAGAGCAGAGCAGAGCAGAGCAGAGCAGAGCAGAGCAGAGCAGAGGCAGAGCAGAGCAGAGCAGAGCAGAGCAGAGCAGAGCAGAGCAGAGCAGAGCAGAGGCAGAGCAGAGCAGAGCAGAGCAGAGCAGAGCAGAGCAGAGCAGAGCAGAGCAGAGGCAGAGCAGAGCAGAGCAGAGCAGAGCAGAGCAGAGCAGAGCAGAGCAGAGCAGAGGCAGAGCAGAGCAGAGCAGAGCAGAGCAGAGCAGAGCAGAGCAGAGCAGAGCAGAGGCAGAGCAGAGCAGAGCAGAGCAGAGCAGAGCAGAGCAGAGCAGAGCAGAGCAGAGGCAGAGCAGAGCAGAGCAGAGCAGAGCAGAGCAGAGCAGAGCAGAGCAGAGCAGAGGCAGAGCAGAGCAGAGCAGAGCAGAGCAGAGCAGAGCAGAGCAGAGCAGAGCAGAGGCAGAGCAGAGCAGAGCAGAGCAGAGCAGAGCAGAGCAGAGCAGAGCAGAGCAGAGGCAGAGCAGAGCAGAGCAGAGCAGAGCAGAGCAGAGCAGAGCAGAGCAGAGCAGAGGCAGAGCAGAGCAGAGCAGAGCAGAGCAGAGCAGAGCAGAGCAGAGCAGAGCAGAGGCAGAGCAGAGCAGAGCAGAGCAGAGCAGAGCAGAGCAGAGCAGAGCAGAGCAGAGGCAGAGCAGAGCAGAGCAGAGCAGAGCAGAGCAGAGCAGAGCAGAGCAGAGCAGAGGCAGAGCAGAGCAGAGCAGAGCAGAGCAGAGCAGAGCAGAGCAGAGCAGAGCAGAGGCAGAGCAGAGCAGAGCAGAGCAGAGCAGAGCAGAGCAGAGCAGAGCAGAGCAGAGGCAGAGCAGAGCAGAGCAGAGCAGAGCAGAGCAGAGCAGAGCAGAGCAGAGCAGAGGCAGAGCAGAGCAGAGCAGAGCAGAGCAGAGCAGAGCAGAGCAGAGCAGAGCAGAGGCAGAGCAGAGCAGAGCAGAGCAGAGCAGAGCAGAGCAGAGCAGAGCAGAGCAGAGGCAGAGCAGAGCAGAGCAGAGCAGAGCAGAGCAGAGCAGAGCAGAGCAGAGCAGAGGCAGAGCAGAGCAGAGCAGAGCAGAGCAGAGCAGAGCAGAGCAGAGCAGAGCAGAGGCAGAGCAGAGCAGAGCAGAGCAGAGCAGAGCAGAGCAGAGCAGAGCAGAGCAGAGGCAGAGCAGAGCAGAGCAGAGCAGAGCAGAGCAGAGCAGAGCAGAGCAGAGCAGAGGCAGAGCAGAGCAGAGCAGAGCAGAGCAGAGCAGAGCAGAGCAGAGCAGAGCAGAGGCAGAGCAGAGCAGAGCAGAGCAGAGCAGAGCAGAGCAGAGCAGAGCAGAGCAGAGGCAGAGCAGAGCAGAGCAGAGCAGAGCAGAGCAGAGCAGAGCAGAGCAGAGCAGAGGCAGAGCAGAGCAGAGCAGAGCAGAGCAGAGCAGAGCAGAGCAGAGCAGAGCAGAGGCAGAGCAGAGCAGAGCAGAGCAGAGCAGAGCAGAGCAGAGCAGAGCAGAGCAGAGGCAGAGCAGAGCAGAGCAGAGCAGAGCAGAGCAGAGCAGAGCAGAGCAGAGCAGAGGCAGAGCAGAGCAGAGCAGAGCAGAGCAGAGCAGAGCAGAGCAGAGCAGAGCAGAGGCAGAGCAGAGCAGAGCAGAGCAGAGCAGAGCAGAGCAGAGCAGAGCAGAGCAGAGGCAGAGCAGAGCAGAGCAGAGCAGAGCAGAGCAGAGCAGAGCAGAGCAGAGCAGAGGCAGAGCAGAGCAGAGCAGAGCAGAGCAGAGCAGAGCAGAGCAGAGCAGAGCAGAGGCAGAGCAGAGCAGAGCAGAGCAGAGCAGAGCAGAGCAGAGCAGAGCAGAGCAGAGGCAGAGCAGAGCAGAGCAGAGCAGAGCAGAGCAGAGCAGAGCAGAGCAGAGCAGAGGCAGAGCAGAGCAGAGCAGAGCAGAGCAGAGCAGAGCAGAGCAGAGCAGAGCAGAGGCAGAGCAGAGCAGAGCAGAGCAGAGCAGAGCAGAGCAGAGCAGAGCAGAGCAGAGGCAGAGCAGAGCAGAGCAGAGCAGAGCAGAGCAGAGCAGAGCAGAGCAGAGCAGAGGCAGAGCAGAGCAGAGCAGAGCAGAGCAGAGCAGAGCAGAGCAGAGCAGAGCAGAGGCAGAGCAGAGCAGAGCAGAGCAGAGCAGAGCAGAGCAGAGCAGAGCAGAGCAGAGGCAGAGCAGAGCAGAGCAGAGCAGAGCAGAGCAGAGCAGAGCAGAGCAGAGCAGAGGCAGAGCAGAGCAGAGCAGAGCAGAGCAGAGCAGAGCAGAGCAGAGCAGAGCAGAGGCAGAGCAGAGCAGAGCAGAGCAGAGCAGAGCAGAGCAGAGCAGAGCAGAGCAGAGGCAGAGCAGAGCAGAGCAGAGCAGAGCAGAGCAGAGCAGAGCAGAGCAGAGCAGAGGCAGAGCAGAGCAGAGCAGAGCAGAGCAGAGCAGAGCAGAGCAGAGCAGAGCAGAGGCAGAGCAGAGCAGAGCAGAGCAGAGCAGAGCAGAGCAGAGCAGAGCAGAGCAGAGGCAGAGCAGAGCAGAGCAGAGCAGAGCAGAGCAGAGCAGAGCAGAGCAGAGCAGAGGCAGAGCAGAGCAGAGCAGAGCAGAGCAGAGCAGAGCAGAGCAGAGCAGAGCAGAGGCAGAGCAGAGCAGAGCAGAGCAGAGCAGAGCAGAGCAGAGCAGAGCAGAGCAGAGGCAGAGCAGAGCAGAGCAGAGCAGAGCAGAGCAGAGCAGAGCAGAGCAGAGCAGAGGCAGAGCAGAGCAGAGCAGAGCAGAGCAGAGCAGAGCAGAGCAGAGCAGAGCAGAGGCAGAGCAGAGCAGAGCAGAGCAGAGCAGAGCAGAGCAGAGCAGAGCAGAGCAGAGGCAGAGCAGAGCAGAGCAGAGCAGAGCAGAGCAGAGCAGAGCAGAGCAGAGCAGAGGCAGAGCAGAGCAGAGCAGAGCAGAGCAGAGCAGAGCAGAGCAGAGCAGAG